GGCAACATATTTAATCTTGGGTACCTATGGTGGTTTCTAAAAATATATATAATTCTAAAAAGATTAGTGAATAAATGAATTCATGTTTACTTAAAACTCTGCTACCATTAAACCTGATATTTAATTAGATTTTTCCTTTTTCCTATATCCATTAAAGATATAACTCTCGGCAGCATATAGATTAAAATATTTAAGAACGCATATTAAAACTATGCAGCACTAATCTTTGAATAAAACTTATTCAAGATCAAATAATGCAAATAAAATTGCATACATCATTTATAAAACAAAGAGTCCACTCACTGATGATCTGAGCTAGCTGGACCCTTTGAAGGTCCCTCCTGCAGGTCAACTGGTGCCCGGGTGCCTGAATAACCATCATAATATTTTATTAACAAATTTGCTCAATAAAATAATATTAAAACAACAACCCTGACTCCCGGCTCCTAAAAGTGCGTGCATCAATTTTAAGGTCGTTCCTATGCCCACATTAGCTTTTCTCTCCAAGGGCAAGGTTTAGAAGAAACTCGGGACTCGAAAGCGATAAAGTCCCAAAAGTCAACTCGGGACTCGAAAGCGATAAAGTTCCAAATTTCGATCCAATAGTTCCTAGAGGTTCCAATAGCCTAGGACACATGCCCCGAGAGTTTGGTCTCAATCGGACGGTCGGATTGCTCACGATTGCGCGACTGGACGGACGGACGGTTTCCGTAACCCTAACCCTAGGGTTGGCCTTTTCGGAGTATCTGGGACTCTGATTCACAATCCGTCAAATCCTACACGATTATGAAATTACCTAGATCAACATATTCCAATTTGACTTCAATCCAACGGTCCGAACGTATTGAACCCGGAAATCGCACAATATGCGAGATCCATTCGGGGTTCAAACGTTGTCCAAATTAAGATCCGCAAATTCCTACGTGCTCGTGAGGACACGAGGATCATTCTAGGACCAAGAGTGGTCCCCGACACTGGGCTCACGCGCCGCCCACGCGCCGGTAGCGCGTGGGTGTGTACCAGAAATTCTCTAAACCGCCCACCCAAACTCCTACCCTAGGTAAAACACCTAATTTGGAACCACTTTTGTTCTTGGACTATGGCCAAAGAGTGGCTGGAAGTAGCTGAAAACGAGCTCTCAAATTGGCAGAATTTCAATTAAAAAATTAACCAATCAAACTTCAAAATCTCTCAAATCCTACCCAACCATCAGCTAAATCATGGAAAATAGCTAGAAATCCATACCTTAATCGACTGATTTGGTGGCAGGAGAAGGGAGATCGATGGCTGTGAAGTTTCGAATGAAAACCACCGATTTTTCGTGGTTTGCCGGCAAGATCGTGGTGGCTGGCAGAGTGAGGAGGCTGGGGTGGGTAGCTAGGGTGGTGGCGGTCCTATCTTGGCCGATCCCATGGGTTGGGGTGGGGTGGGGTGTGGTGGTGGTTATGGTGGTTTGGAGGTGGCTGCAAGGGTGGAGAATAATAAGGGGAGGGGGGGCTGGTCGTGCTGAAGAAGAAATGAATCTGCCAAATTTTTTATTTTTTTATTTATTTTATTTTATTTTTTTAAGGTCTGGGTTATTACATTTATTCTCAACCATGATATAGTTATTAAAGTTTGAGATTGTAAAATGATGTATTCCTGGATCTTCTATCCCATATTTAGCCTCTAATTCTTCCCACAAATCTTTTGCATTTTTTTTTATCTTGAGAAACATCATACAGATCATCAGAGATAGGATTAAGGATTTTGTTATGGCAATGATATTCTAATTCTTCTTTATCATATTTGTCTTAGTTTAAGAAGTGGTTTCAATAGTTTGATTAGGTGTGGTTTGATCTTCTAAGGCAGAAGCTAGCCCGAAAACAATTAACCAATATTTAAGTTATCTTTGCCACCTCTTAAAATTTGTCCCATTAAATTTTCCAGGTTTAACACTATTGGTCTCTACACTATCCATCTCAATTCCAATAAACAATAATGAAGCAACAAAATTTGAAATTTAAATATAATACAAGTTGAAATTTAATAATAATCAAATAATTGGTAAACAAACAATAATGTAAAGGAAAAATGAGCCAAGTTTATGACAAGATATCTAACTTTATTAAGATTTTGGAATTTGTTTTAATGACCAAACGTGGAGGTCAAATTAAAGAAATTGACTTTAGTATATAGGATATTGAGATGAATCTGAAATTTTGGAACAAAGGATCCATGACGAGAGTTATAAAAGAAATTCTTTGATATTGGCTTGACTTGCATTCTTGAAGTTCTTTGACTCACTGGTATGGTATCCATAGTTGGACATTTGTTTTCATTATTTAGGAATATGGAAGACATCGCTCAAAGTCTAAAAATATTTTCGAATAAATACTTTCTCAAAAAACCCAATGCTTAGTTGATAAAACAAGAAGTATACTAGTATTAGTGATTAATGTGTGTAGGGCACATTTTAGATTTTCGCCATGGGCCTTTGAAAACTCAGGACCGGCCCTGAGAAGAACATGGAGAATTGGGAATTATGGTTGGGAATCAATGTGTGTGTGTGTGTACGTGAGAGAGAGAGAGAGAGAGAGAGAGAGAGAGAGAGAGAGAGAGGATATGTAAAATTGGGATTTCATCTCAAGTAGAGCATATTAGAGAAGAGAAGAAGAAGAAGCAAAGAAGAAAGCAATTGGGGGTGTCATCTCAGAGATAGTAGAGCATAGAAGAAGAAGAAGAAGGCAAAATTTAGAGAAAGAGAGCAGTAGCAGAGACCAATTTCACATGACCAAAAAAATATATAAAAATGATGTTGGGCCAATAGGGAGCTTTTATAGAGGATATTTTTGAATGAGTTTTAGAAAGAGGGCATTGTTGAATAAAACATTGGAGCCGAGGGCAAAGCCGTGTATTTCCCAAAAATTTAAGTTAAAATATTTTGTAGACAATTTCCAAAGCTAGGGTTAGGGAAAAAAAATTGTTTATGATCCCAAAATTTTAATTTAGATGGGAGTGACCTGAAAGAGTGACCTATAATCAAGGTCTAAAATATCGATGGTATCAGAAATATCGGAAGTCCAAAAACACGGAAATGTTGATGGAAAAATCGGGATATTATCGGTATCGGTAAAAATTGAATAAAAACCACGGAAATTGTAAGAAAAATTTGGAAATTTTTATTGAAACTTTGCAGGATTTTTATTTAGTCAATTATCTATTAGTTTATCACAAAAAATTGGAAGGAAATGCATTGCATGATGGATTTAACTGATTTAAGTTGATTATATAGAGAGCTGGCAAACACTGTAAGTGTAGAAAATATGTAGTAATTAATGAAAGAAGATTAAACACACCATAATCATTTATATATAATGAATTACTACAATATTTTACACTTTATACATTGCATGGTAAGATACATGAGTGACTTAGTACCACATAGAGTTCCTATGAGGTTCAAAATTTTCACTATCTTCATCATCTCTATGTGTAGAGTAAGTATATTTTGAAGAGTAGTCATCAAATGATAAATCCCCAAAATAATTTTGCATGTAATTGTTAACATGCCACCCATATGGATCCGAGATTGGTTGACGTTGTCCATAAGCAAAATCATTTGAAGGAGTAAAATGGTTTTCACAAAAACCATGTATATAAATATTTTTGGGTTTCGTATCATGATATTATCGGGATATTATCGATAATATCGCAATATATTGCCCAAATCATTCATAAAAATGTTGATATATTGACGATAACACCATGGTTTGTTGCGAAAATATTGTTAATGTATGAATTTTGATTAATTCTTTTGGCTTCCCTTGACAATTTTGTAATAGGATTTTTATTGTATTTATCAAGCTCAAGTTTAGATTAAGAATAGCATCTCTAGGTGTTCTTAACTATCATCTATCATATGGAGGTTCAAGCAAATTGACAAAGGTAAATCATGCATTGCATATCATTGCATTAAACTGTTTTCATAAATGATGACTAGTCATCCTTGCTCTGTAGGATTTCCAGCTGGTTAACCAACTGTT